TCCTCATGAAACCTGTTACTCTTCTGTATTGCATAGCAAGAGATACCAAAATTCAGTTCAGTATCAGACAGAAACATAGGTTTGTTTTTAAATGGTATAGTCAGTTCCTGAAAATCGAGACTTTACAATACCTGTGTGTTGTGTAACCTTTTGCAATGAAATATGAAGAAAAATATTCTGTAGAAATAAACTATTACATAAAGATAAGCTGGTAAGCTGTTTTTAATCTGGAGAGTTGTGCTTGAAATGCTGTCAAATTGTCATGTTGAGTGTGTTAAATATGATACTGGGGAATGGGATAGAGCAAGATGGACTTGTTATGTTCAGCATTAAATCTAAGCATAGAGAAGTGGTATTTTTTCATGTGGTAAATGACTTTTTTCTTCTCTCTCTCTCTCTTCCTTTACCTACTGTGCAAAAGCAGTGCAGTTTAGTTAGTTTATTTAAAGACCTGTTTGGTAAATGGTATGTAATGCATTTTTTATCCCTTGAACTATTGGGTCATTGTGGTACCTCCATCTTGTTTTAGATAAGAAGAAATCTTTGATGCTTTTTCGATGCCTAAAACTAATAGTGTGTTTGATACTCATGACAGTGTAATATTGAAGCACTCCCAAATACAAAAATTTTTAAGCTGTTAAGACAACATGTGGTTAGCGTTCCAGAAAGCATGCAGGTGTGTTTCTAGAAAGACAAATGGTGCAGTCATCAAATGTTTTTCCTAGTCAAAGAAGTCTTGGCCATCTCACTGCAGTAAAATACTCCATCTTAGCAACAGTTGCTATGTAGTACTACCTTTTTAAGCTATGTTGGTACCATTTTAAGATGTTAAGAGCTCTGCAGTTTTCCTCTGCTGATTCACCTCCTACGCGTGTGAGACGGCTGTGTAGCTTAAGACTTCCATTTTACGTAGAAAATGATTAGTGGAGGTTTTATTGACAGGGTGTCCACAGAGTTAGAAACTACCATCAGCATAGCCAAAGAGGAAATGAGGGTTGTCTTTTGTGAATTTCTAGTGTGGATGATCTGTTCTTATTAAGCAGAAAAAAATGCATGTATCTGGGCATATATCATAAAACCAAAAACCAAGCTGTACAGAACAGCTTATAGCACTGCTGATGGTACACCAGGATAAGTATAAAGCACATAGGAACCTTTTATTGTGGGGAACCAAGTGTGTTTGGCAGTCTTTATGCTTATTCTGGTTCGCAGCTGGCCACAGCCTTGCGTGACAGTCTGATCTAACAAGACCATCGGTGTTAGTCAGCCTCTGCAACATCCTGCAACTTTTCTGTCGCTTTGATAATAGCGATTTTTTTAGAGCTGCAGTAGGAAGAGCCAAGTGGTGGATTATTTATTTTGTTTTCCTGTATAACTGGTCTGTCCTGCTTCCTTATTCGGTTAGTGCTTTTTTGATATTTGATAGGTGTTGTTTTTATTTTCCTTCTAGTGCTGTCTGGAAGTTAGAGAGGGGGATCAGTGTGTTTAGTGATCACTTGTCGGGATCTTCCTATTGATACCCAACTCATATGCATGTATCTTGGTGAGCTTTGCCTGAGAGCCTGGAATTGGAAGGAGGAGCCATAGCCATTGCATTTGAAGTCCTGGCAACAGTTGCTATGTACCGCTACCTTTCTAGGCTGTGCTAATACCATTGGAAGAAACACAAAACCTCTTCAGCTCCTACAGTGGACATTTTCCTGCTTGAAAAGGTTATGTTCATGGATTTCCCCCCCCCCCTTTTTTTTTCCCTCACCTCCCACACAGTAGTACTGAGAATGATAAAAAAAAAATAAATCTTTTTTGCTCTCAGTGGTTCTGTGCTTTGCTGATGCTAAGGGTTCCTCTTTCTGTACAAATTAATGTTTTACAGGCACTTAACCACGCTTGACACAAACATTGACTTATAAGACTTCCTCAAGGAGAAACATCCATAAATGTTATACTGATTGTTGTTTACTGGTATTTTCCGATGTTACTGCCTAGACAGGTAGAAGAAAAATAAAAATATGTGTCGTTTCAGAAATGGAAAAAAAATTATGCCTCACTGAGGTTTGCTAGGTATCACATTGCACTGCAGGTGTAAGACCTGTGTCCATTGCAATGCTCGCTGTCTCACAAATGATGAAGCTGGCAGTGAATGTTATTTGTAGATGCGTAACTGTTGTGACCTCCTTTTCTAAAGGAGACCTACAACCTGCTTTGGACTCTGACAACACTTAATGTCAAAATGGCATACTTTGTAAAGCTCATTCTCAGTGCTAGCTGTCACAGAACAAATAAGCATAAAAAAGAAAATCTGGCTGCCTCTGTCCCAGAGATCTTTATATCATAAGTGTGTGATGAGACAAGGATAGAAGAGATGAGAACAGGGAGGTGGTTGGGATATGTGGAGCAGTTCTTATAAGCTGCGGTCACCAAGTGCACATTCACCAGTCATTTTTGAGGCTTTTGTATGCATCCTGCTAGAGGGGACTTGTGAAAAGGGCTTTGCATAGATCTAATTCAGCTTTGGATTTTGGTTGGCTCATAACTAAGGAATAGGACATGAGAAATTTGGAGGGGTTGGAAGAGCTGGAGGGCGGAGGTTTGTGATGTTGGCTGAGTGAGGGTCCAGGTCTACACTAGAAACTTGGTAGGAACTTGGACCCTCTTTTGGTATTTGTTTCTTCACTAGCAGTAATACTAGGTTGAAGCACTTTCATGGCCGTGAAACTTAACTATCTGGCCTGGAAAAGTACTACGAAATACACAGAAGAGTGTTTCTTTTTGCTGTAGAGATCTCAACAGAGAAAAAGGGTTTGGCATGTAACTTTGTGTTGTCTAGATTTAAACCTGACTGATAAGAAGGTCCGTCTGTGTAAGAATTGTGTGCTGAAGGGCTATGATTTTGTCTTCAAGTGGTGTTGGTTTACAATACAGCTCTCTGTAGTTCTAAAAGTGGTGCCTGGCATGAAAAAATAATGATATCTTGCAAGTGGGCAAGCATAGCTTAAAAAGAAGTTACTGTCTTCCTGATGGTGGTCGTTATCTTGAGCTGTGTTAGTTAATATGTGGATACTTGTAACTTGGGTTGCTGCAAAATCAGTTGCATTACCTTAAAAAAAAATTTAAAAAAATCTTTGTATTTGGTTATACCAAGTCAGTAGATTGCTGCAATCCATCTGTAAGAACAATGACAGTGCAGGATATTTGTTCCCTTAAAATGGCAGTGCACTAAGATAATCACTGCAACATGGTTTTGAATGGCTATAGGGAGAGCAATGTGGCATTTTTTTCAGAGACCACAAAATTGGATAATTTAGTGTTCAAGAGGAGGATAGTAAATGCTTGGTTATCTGTCTGGCTTTCCCCCATGGGTGAAATAGGGATTGGAATTGAAGGAGGTTGCAATATGTAGATGTTTGAACAGAGCAATGCAGAACATATGTTTGTTTCAGTGGTGTTGGCACATGTAATTAGTTTAAATACAGAAGATTAAAATACAAAAGTATCTGTAGGAAGTAGAGGGAAGAACCTGATCAAGGGGAATTGTTTTTACCTGTTTCAATACAAGAGTTGCCACACTTGTGACACATTGTAATTTATATGGAGCAGTCTTACTTATATATCTATTTATGGTTGGAATTTCTGGTTTGAAAGCTTTTAATTTACTGACATTGCAAGAACTGAATTTTCTCTTTTTAATGTTTTTACCTCCTTTTAAACTTCTACTGGTTACTAACACCTGTAATTTGATTATATGAAGAAAGAAGTTAATAGTTCTGTCATTGCGCATGGGGAATATTCACTAAAGGATACTTGGTTGACTTTAAAAAGCTGAAGACAGATTTAGTTTTGAAGGTTCATTCAAAAAACCCAAAACAAACAAAAAAACCCAACCAACCAGTTGATCCTTGGCATTGCACTTGGTCTAAGAGTTGAGTGCAAACAGAGTCAGGAGAGTCACTGGATATATGACATCTTAGTGTTCACCAATTGAGACCATCAGGCTGGAAAGACTGGATTGCTCAACTTCCTGTGTTTTGCAGACTATTAAGCTGCAGCCAGTTTCCCCATGTGTTGAACCCACGTTTGACTCTTAGAAGAGTCATTAATATATGTGAAAAGACACTAATTCCAGGTGTGCATTCTCTGTTGAGCTGTAGCCACAGGATGGGAGAGTGAGGGTTGAATGTTTCTGAAGGTATGTGCTTCCAGTTTACAGATGATGAGACATCTGGATGTCTGAACAGAGCAGCTGAGCTTTGCATTTCTTTTGCAGATAAATGGAAGTTTTAATATTTTTAAGTAGCAAAATTGTCATTTGTACACTAAGTTATGCAAGAGTAATTTGTGGTTTGATAGGCAAAAGTGAGGGTACTTGTTGAGAGAAATACATGGAGCACCAGTTTTATCTTGGAAGGCATATGCATGCTTAGGTAAACAGTGTAACTTGCTTCAGTGACTTCTAGTGTTTCTAATACCCAAGTTGGGATAATTGTTGGTGTATTACACCTGACTTCCTCCTCCTGTTTTGGGTTGTTGGTATCACCGTGCCTTGTGCTGACCTGAGGTTTACTTTTATTTTTGAAGAGCCTTTGCAGGCTCAGTGTGGGTAGATAAACTTCTGGCCCCCAAGGCAAGCAGAGATCTGGCAGATGTGGTTCCCTTCACCTCCATTGCACCTCAGTTTCCTGCATTTCTGAGGAGCTCCCGTCTCTGGATGACCTTAGTTGGCAACATTTTCCAGTGATTTAGCTCATACTCTCTCTGTTTTTCTCAGGTCATCCTCACCTCAATAGTGAGAAGAGGGAAAGCTATATAGTACATTATTACTTATTATTACTGAAGCATGTTGGTATTTATCGGTTTTCATCATGTTAAAATGGAAAGTAGAAAAAATTATTTTTGCATCTTCTAAAAACCAACATCCTCCCCCCAAAAAAACATCTAAATGATTTGCTTCAGAAACCTTTCATTTCAATAAGAATTATTTAATGTAGTCACCTTCTTTACAGATGACGACTTTGATCAGTTTGATAAGCCTGGTGCAGAAAGGTCTTGGAGAAGAAGAGCTGGAGATGACGACTGGGACAGGTAGGTAGGATATCTTTATGTTCAGTTTCTGTATGCTGAATTACATTGCTCTGTTTTCCCATTCTGGCATTTTGTATTCTAACATTTAGAGTAGTGCACATTTAGATACTAATGAAGACGTTGGGTGTTATGTGTGTCAGCCAGTGCTAGATTGTGCCAAACATACTTGCCTTGAGGACTATAGAGCACTCTGTGAAGAGATACCATTTAAAATTGGATAAATACAAAGTATGTGTGGTGTGTAATTAACTTTGCAATTAATGTCCTGGTTTTCCTTTTAAATATTTAGTAGATCTCAATTGTTTAAATAGTTAGATTTTGCTCGTGCTTGAATTTGCCCAACTTTTTAAACTAGGTGTTTAAATTCTTATCCTCAAAGTCCTACTTCAGTTTTACATTGGAGCTTAGGAATGGGCTTCTATTGAAAAAATATGACTGTTGTAAAGCTTTAGAAGTATGTATGAATTTGATTATTTTGGGGGAGAATAAGAGCATGTTCTTTTATGCAAAGGCACTCTAGCTGGGAAAGACTTGAATTGGGCTGCTGGCTAGACTTGTCTATTCTTTCTTGGAGAAAACTTTTTACTTTTTTGTGGGGTTGTTTTTTTTTATTATTGTTCCTTTTTAGCAACAGAGAGACTTGTTCAGACTTTGCCAGTGGTTTTCACTGTAAAAAGGGGGAAAAAAACATTCCAAACAGATTTTTATCTTTTCTAATAATCATTCAAGTGATTGTAGTAAACAAATTTTACCCTAAGTAGTTTTCCACTGAGCTGAGCCCTTGGAGTGAATCAGCTACTCTACACTTATTGTCATTCCAGAGGGATTAGTTTCTTTTTCTTGTGCTTTTCTGCTAGGTTAAGTAGGTAGTTTTCCTTGCTCAAGGAGGTGAGTAAGAGTGAATTTGGATAATAGCTTCAGTATACACAGGGTGTTCTGCCATAGGCTGGTGAGGGGTGTCTGCTCCCTCTCATGCCAGTACAGCTGTTTGTGGGTTGGATGGTGAAGTGCATCAAGGAACTGATCTGGTTTGAGAGTGTAATTAAAATAACTTGTTCAGGCTGGGTCACTGTACCTGCTGCCTCCCAGCCCCAGCTCTGGGGGTTCAGAAATACTGAAGCCAATATTACAGGCAAAATGCTTTGTATTAGAATATTTTCTGAACTTTTAGCCTTTGCTGGCTCCATGGTGTGAATAGGTGGGCTCTTAGATCCTGGCTGATGTGTTTTTAGCTGTCCTACTCTTAGCACTTTAGAAAATTTAGAAGAGTCAAAGAGCCATTGTACGGGATGTTACAAGCTTATTGCCAATGGTAAACTCACTGTGGCAAAGTTATTTTTATAGGACTTGAGAAAGGTTATAGAGTATTTTCACTGAGACTTTGAAGCATACAGGAGTTTAGTTTTAGAAAAAAGTTTTTGTTTATGTGTTTATTATTAGCTGCATATAACTTAAGATAGATGATCAAAAGTCATAGTGTTTATTTTTTAGTGAAATTGGAAAGGAAGTGGTTTCAGGTGCAGTGCTGAAGAAGAGTTTCATCTTGCTGATTATTTCAGAAAATGGGTTTTTTTTTTTTTACAATTGCATCTGATAAAATATTTTCTGTTGAATTTTTTGTTATTTTTATATTATTATTAATTCTTTTTAGAATACCAAGCTATCTTTGAAAGTGTTAAGTTCTATGGCTGTCTGCGCAATTACAAATGCTGTATGGTTGTGATATGTTGTTGCCTAATGTAAATGCTTGAATTTTTTTAACTACTGGCCTAATTTGTGGTAGGACGGTTTCTTGAAGATAGGAAAAAAGGCTGAATGAACACAGTAGACTTAGGTTTTTAACCTTTTGTGCTTTGTGGGGAATGGTAAAGGAGTTATGCTGCTAGTCAGCTAGTCATACATCTCGATCAACCATCAAATCTTACTGTGTTGCTACTTAACAGATTTCTATCCCCCAGTCATTTGAGTAATTTTGAATTTCCAGATCTCTTTCCTTTCTCAAATGCTGGAAGGTGATAACTGAGAGTTGGAAGGCCCTTGTTATTTGGGAGTACAAATGTAACATTATTCTTGGAGAATTTTTCCCATTACATTTTTTTACAAATTCTTTTCCTGAAACACTTGTGTCCTTGCTACTGCTCATGTTTAATGGGGCATGCTCATGAAATTGGAGGCCAGAAAGGGCCAGTCTGACATCTTTATCACAGGCTGTTAATTTATACATTTATATCTGTAAATAGCCCAAAGCTTGGCTTTGGGAAAAACATGCAGTTCTTGTGCTATCCTGTGAGATGACAGGGCTGATTTAGTAATGGACTTTTGCAGAAATTTGCTTGTTCTGACCCTTCTCTGAGATTAGTCATTTCTCTACACTGGCAGAAAACTTTCCATTTTTTGTTGTCTTTGTTTTTTACTATTATTTTCTCTTCCTCATTTGGTGAGCTGGATTTATTCAGTGAGGGGAGTGTTGGGTATTGGGAGTTGAGGAAGGGGAGGAAATGGGTCTGTCTCTTCTGAGAGCAGTGAACTCTTAGGTTATTTTAACCCTAATTTCCTAGAATTGTGATTTTGTAAAGACCTTTGTGTCTTGATGATAGGGTGAGTTGCCTTTGCAACTATCACAGATGTGTACTTTTACTCCAGTTTAATTTATTTTTGTGTGGCTTTGTGTGATATCAGATTGCAACCATTCATTTTTGTCTGTTTTTCTCAGCTATCCTAAGATCTTTTAGTATCTGGTGGGTTTTTTTTTCTATGGGGTTTTTTTTTGGTGGTGGCTTTTTTTTTAATAGTCAAATGTGTTAATTCCAGTCCCTCTTCTAATAGATCTAATAGATAACTGCAGATTTGGCTATTTTAAAAGAAACATGAGATGGGTCCACTTTACCATGCAGGCTTTTCATTATTACTTTTTTAATTCAAAAAGTTACCATCGGTGATTTTACTTTAAATTTATCAATGAAAATATTTAATGATATTAAATATTTCAATAGGTTTTGAGGGGCATTCTGTGAAACATTTTTGTTTCTGTTATGAGCTTCATTTATGTGCTAGTGCTATTTTTTTGACGGTCAAGTAATAAACCAAAGCATTAAAAAAAATCTAGAATACATATGCAATTACTTCTATTGACCAAATGTTTAATATTTTTATTAAAAAAAAAAATCACATTGAGGATGTTTTTTAGTAATGTGTTGAATAGCCCTAACTATATTTAGATTAATTTCATCTTTTGCTTTCTTTTCCTTTTTGATCAGAATTTCTTACTACCTGAACTTTCTTTTTGCCTCCGCTGCTGTAATACACGCTCTTGCTGTCTTTTGGAATTTCTCTGGTACAGTTTTATTAAAAGCTGTCAGTGGTGGACCATAATGCTGGGAAATATTTTCAAACCTTTTGGTGTGTTTGTCACATTACTGGCAGCTGAAGAGATTAGTGACTGTTTCCTACATCAGTTTTGGCTTTAAATTCTTCTGAAACCATTTCTGTTAAGTAGAGTTTTCTGTCTCTCAGAAAAAGGGCTTAAATTCTAGTCATAGAATCATGGAATGGTTTGGATTGGAAGAGACCATCTAGTTCCAACCCCCTGCCATGGGCAGGGACACCCTCCGCTAGACCAGGTTGCCCAAAGCCCCATCCAGCCTGGCCTTGAACACTTCCAGGGATGGGGCATCCACAGCTTCTCTGGGCAACCTGTGCCAGTGCCTCACCACCCTCACAGGGAAGAATTTCTTTCTAATATCCAATCTAAATCTCCTTCTTTCAGCTGTCCTGTCACTGGTCAGTTTGCTCTTTGGGATGTATGATGTGTCTTATGTCCCAATTTTTGTTTAATATTGCAGAAAAAAAATGATATTTGTTAATGTTCAGTCATCCCTGGAACTGTTTGAGATTAATTATGGACAAATACTGTGTACTGGTGATAATGTCCTATTTAGTGCTGATCTGGAATATCATCTATTCTCTTCTAGCCCACAAGATTTTCATTCCCCTCCCTGCATTATCTGTACAGTAACCATCTCTGAAAGAGATGTATCCATCTGCAAAAACAACTTTTGGCACTGATTTATGTCTTGGGATTTGCTTCCCCATTTTTCAAGTATTTGCTATGTAGTCCTAAGGAACTCTTATGCATATTCCTATCCTGTTCATGTAGCCCATTCTCATTTTGGGGTATTTAATTTTTGTGTAGTATCTAAGGCATGGGGGTTTTTTTGTTCTTGCTTTTTAAGGTGTGCAGGTAGAAATAGGTTCACATTCTTGAAATACAGATTATATTTCCAATCAGTGGCATCTCATTTTACTATTAGGACATGCATATTCTAATATGGGTGTTTGTCAGTAACAAGTGTTTATTATAGAAGGAAGGATCTGTTTATTCCTGTCACTAAACAGTTCTTTTACTGAAGCAGTTGTCCTAAATCTTAACTAATCAGGACTGTAGTTCTTTGTGTTGCATCCTATTTATGGGACAGATGCTCTGTGCTGACAGAAGTTTTGTAAGCCAGGTATTTCTATGCTTCCTGAATTCTTAGCCACACTTATAAAGATGGGGAAACATTCATTTGATTTTGTAATCCTACAAATGTCTGTTTGATCTTACCCTCAACTTGAGGAGGAGGGAGTAAAGTATTCATGAAATATCTAGACCACAGTGGCTCCCAAGCCAGCTGGCCTCCCGGTACCTCCTTGCCGAAGCGTAGCTGAGACCATGTTGTGAGCTGTAGACCAAGTCTTGCCCACAGGACGTTACTGTCTCGCTTGTTTCTTCCCTGGGGGGGTGAGAAACAGCAGTTTGGACAATATACCCAAACAGCCTTGAAGTGAAGGATCTAGAGTGGGAACCTAGATAACTATGCTTTGTCTAGGTTTATGTGCTGTGTTGGAGGCATGTGGAAAGGAGAGCATATGAAAATGAAATGACTGTATAACAATGGTCTTACTTCATATGTACGGTCTGTTGTTTAATTTAAAATATATATCTCCTTTTTCAACTTGGTGAATGCTTTGCTAAAAGGAAAGCTTTGTGCAGACTCGGCAACAGTTCTCCTCAAGTTAGTTTTTTAAGGCGCATACCCTATGTGGTGATTGTTTCTGTTTTCTAAGGTTCAACTTCTTAAACTTGTTAATATTTTCCAGTGAACTTGATGATGACTTGCTTGGAGAGGATTTGCTAACTGGCAAAAAGGTAAGAGATGTGCATTAAAGTGAATTCTTACAGATATTAAAAAATGAATGTTGTTCAATTTACCCACTTCAGTTGTTTGGTACGGCCTTTTACATATTTTGCGGTCACCTCCCCAAAGCCTGACAGCCACAGGTACAAGATCTGCCCTGTTGCCAGAGTGCTTGGCACCCAGAGCTGTTTCCTTTTGTGAAGTGCCTCCAAATGTGGTATTTTAAAATAAAACTTTTAGAAAAAGTATTTTTTTTTTCTGAGTTAGTATTTCTTCTCATAACACACTCTTCTTAAAATCAGTTTCTCTGTAGCTCATGTTGACTTAGCAATTAAACAAAAGAAATTAAACAAAAGAAAAAAAAAACAATTATGCCTTCTGAGTGCTGATTAGGATTCTGGAGAATTCACTTCAACTGCCAGTTTCCTGCGTATTAAAAGTTACTCATCAAAATACCAGCAGTATTTACTAGAGAGTAAATAAAGCAGTGAGTGGTGTCTATTAAAGGTCCACACACGCACACAATCCACTACTCCTTTGTCTAACGAATAGGCCGAGGGTTTCTACTTCTGCTGTGGGGGAAGACTATGGGAGCAGCTAGCATCAGAGAACATAAACAAGTCCCCCATGCATGCTATAGACTCCTCACTCTCATACCTATTTCCAGAATTGAACTCTGTGAAAAGAACTAAATTTGTGTTTGGATTTGTCAGATATCTGCAGGAGAACACAGAGCTTCTGTTTGGGAAATCAAAACTGGCTAGTACCTCTTTCTCCATTTGATCTGCTAAATGAATTAATTTAGAAAATAGTTTTTAAAGTTCTAGTTGGAGATGTATAGGTTTGTTAAGAAACCCAGATCTGGTAAAAGTTGAGTTTTAATTGGTGTAGTTTTTTTATAATCACACCCTAAATGTTAGAAGTTAACTTCTTGAAATTATTCCGTAAGTAATCATTGCCAAAGATAGGAAGTTCCTTTGTCTCATTTACTGGTTTAAAAAATAAAATTCCAGGAGGATAGGAATTGCAGATGTGTTACACAATTAGCAAAAAATATAAGCAGTTAACATCGCATACATTTTTGTGGTTGAAATGTGAGTTGATAAAGCTACTTACTTATCGTAAAAAAAAAAAAAAAAAAAATTATCTGTGTGAATACTAACCAATACTAGATTTCTCCAATGTATTATGTGTTCTTGTGCTTTTTCTATCCTCGTTTTCAGTTTTCCATGTTGCAGGGCTCTGAGCAGCATCTGTGGGTGTGGACTCATATGGTGGAGTAACAATAGATTTCTCAGGAAGTTTTCCCTGAGCTATTTAGGCTAAACTTGCTGCTACTTAATCTCATCCCAGTACTTTTAGATAAATCTACCCTTGTATAACCTTTCTGCCCCTATTACTTTAGGGGATGGAAATAATGTTGCTGAGCAAAACTGTAGTTATCTCTTCCTAGTGGGTAATTATTTTAAAAAGAAAAAAAACAACCTGAAAGTATGATAGACAAATTAGGAGTTCAGCAAAGGCATGGTATTTTCTTCTAATTTTTTTTCTTAATTTACAAACTAATCCTGGTTTTTCAATTTTTTTCATCGTATCCTTTCCTTCAGTTTCCTAAGTATCTCTGCTGTCTAGAAACCTGCAGTAACTTTGTGGTTTTTCTTGACTTGCCTAATGTATCAAGGTCACAAGGCAGTTAAATAAGAGCTCTAAAGCTAACCTTTCTTTCTTCCTGGTATTTATTGAGTTGTTGTCTTTGGCTATATTTGGGAATGCATCAGTGAAAAGTGTTGATAGCTAGGCAAATCTGAGTTTTGTAAACTTCCATAAGACTGTCAAGCATTTGTTTTCAAATATGTTGTCTTGTGTAGTGTGGTTTTTCTCATCGAATTAGGTAATTTCATTGAAGATACAATCTTAGTCTGGGATGTGTTCTTCATAAAAAGTACTTAGTGTTCAGAAGTTTCAATAGTTTCAGTACCTGGGTAGTTAAAAGTTTATATCCTTTTTTATGTTCATGATTGACTTTTTCTGAAACCTAGAATCAGTCAGACTTGTCAGATGAAGAGCTGAATGATGATCTTCTGCAAAGTGACAATGAAGAGGAACAAGAATTTCGGTATCTCTTTTCTAAATCTTGTGTTTTGGATAACTCAAAGCTCCTACTACTGATAACTAATAAGTACTGAACTTAAAATAGTTTTGCTCTTTACTTAGCCAGCTACTTAATGATGTATATATGTGTTCAGTAGCATTGTTAGCATTTCAGTAAAATGATTTTTTGTTTATTTGAATCTAATAAATTTAACCTAAATCTATAAAAAAAGCTTATAAAGAAGAAACCGTGTCAACTCCTGTGCATTTAGAATTATTTACAAATACTTACAGAGCTGTTGTTCCATGCCTTCTTGGTATCGTTATAGGCTTTCTTCTCCTGTAAAGTCCTTTTCTGCCATCTTTCTTTTAAAAATATATCTTAAATCCTAAGACCCTGAGAAGGGGAGCTTCATAGTTTGTAAGACGTGATTTGTGGCTTAAATGTTTGTGTACACACAACAGAAAATTTTGTACAGAGTTTATAGGTTTGAGCAGGCACTTCCGTGGGGGTTTACTGAGGATCCAGCCCCGTGAATACTCTGTGATGATATAGCTCCACGACTGAGTTATGGGCATTACAAGTCAAAATGAGTGTCTTGACATTTTTACTTTTCAAAAGCTGGGCTGAACGGGGAAGGAAGATGCTTGTGATGCAGAAGCTATCCAGTACCGCTGCTGCTTTTTGTGGCCTGTGTGTTTTGCCAGCTTTTCCTTTACTTGTTGCTTGCTATGCAGGCATGTCAGCTGAAGGGGTATAAATATATATGTGTTTGATATGTGTGTGTGTATATATGTATGCTGCTCTGAGATCTCCTTTCTCTCCTTGGCTGGAATTAGGATAGGGAGTCCTGTCCCTGCGTTGGATTGATGAGGGTGTGGTGAAATACCTCTGACCATCAATCTCTCCATTGGCTGCAGGAGTGAGGGTTGGACTGTTCCCTTCAAAATGGGGAATCTCAGTTACAGCCCTTTCTGTTTCTTCTCTGGATTTCCTCCCTGCTGCCCAGGGCTCACAAAGATGGCTGTATGAGTGCATGAGTGATGAGAAAGTGTCTGAAGTGTGATAGTAGTGCTCAGTGGAAGCAGATTTCTGTAGACAAATCTTGCATTTTTAGCAGTTCTGTTGCCAGCGAGTGAAAGCCTTGTTCCACTCCTTTCCCTCTCCCTCTGAATTCCTTTCAGACTCATTTATGGCTCTGTAGTTGGGAGAATAGTGATAATCCTGCATAATGTCTTCATTTTCGTGTTAAATCTACTCCGTCTTATAGATGCAAATAGCTCAAGCTGCCTAGATCTTGTTCCTCCAAACTTAGGAAAATAGTGACTAATAAGAATGTAATTTAAAAAAAAAAAAAAGCTGTTTCCACTGTACCTGGAGCCCTCAAATCAAGAAGTGCTTCCCCCCTGCTTTTCTAAGTAGTCTGTGATTGGTCAGTTGCTCTTTTATCTGTTGATATGTTTATCTGTTGTTGCACTAGCTATTTTAAACAGTAAATTCTGAGTTTTGCTTTTTCTCCAGATTAGAAACTTGCTGATTTTTGTATTGATTGTTTCAGTGTCTGTGCCAGTGCTGTTACTAAATTAGAATAAGTCTTAGGCATTTAAATGACCGTTCTTGACTATGTTTTACATTAAGTAGAACATTAAATCTGCCATAAAAATGTAAGTTCAAATTCAAAATAATTAAGCAGGAACAATATTAATACATATAACAAAAATAATTTACTAGCTTATTCTGTAAGATTGGGAAAACAGATGCAGTTGTAGTAATTTTGTGTATATTTTTGTTAGTCTTTGAATCAAAATTAAATCCAGTCTGCTTTGGTTACCAAGCAGGATTTTTGCCAGTTTGACCTGCTAAACCATCTGGTTGGTTTGATTCCCCTGGTCAAATAGCCTGCAGCTGGTGATAAGCTGCAGTGCAGTATGCATTGTGAGAATATGGCATGGAGTCAAATAGCATGTGAGGTATAATTTTGTCCACCAACTTAGAGAATTTGTATTTGCTAGCTTTGGTTTGTAAATCTTTGTGAGTAGTTGACTGTTATGCTTCAACCTCCAAATTTTTTTCCTCCCTTACCATAGCTCTCAAGGTGTCACAGTTAGCCTCAGTGCTACATCTGGCATACTTACATCATATGAACTCTCTGACACCATCAATGATCAATCAATAGAACATGAGTCTGAGTATGACCAAGGGGAAGATGAAATTGTTTATGACAAATCTGAAGCACCTGAAGTATATGCTTCAGAGTATGCAGAGGAAGGACATTATGAAGGCAATGATCCTGAACTGGCAGAAGACCAAATAGAATATGGGGAAGAGCCTGGAGAAGAAGATGAAGTGCTAGACCTTGAAATCAATGAACCCCTAGATGAATTTCCAGTGAGTTTTTCTATTGTATCTTCAAAGATAACATTGCTTCACGTGCATACGGTTTTAGACTGATTTGAAATTTGTTTACCACTCTAGGGAGGAGGTGAAATTAGACCTATTATCACTGTCTGCCAGTTTCTTTATCTAGGCTGTGACAAAGTTTGTGTTGACAGCTTGTTTGGCGGTAGGTAATGCTCCTTTGTCATGCTGGAAGGCAGTTGAGAATCATGACCTTGAGGATTGTATCCTTAAGGAAGAAAACAGCTTTGTGTGGTGGAGATACACTGCCAATTGTTAGAAGTACTTAATGCAAAAGCTTTTATCCAGGCTTTAGACAAGATCTGATAAAGTCCTTCGAAGGTGAAAAGATTATTGACCTGCTAAAGACATCTTTAAGGTGCTAATATCCCAAAGTGATTGATGTCCTGCTCATTCATCCTTTTTGTAACTGAGAACTGTCTAAACCTGAATAAAGAGATTCGAGGTTAGTTCAGCAAATGTCACCTGCATAATTCAATATAATTTAAGCAGTGTATTAGAGAACATTCATTGGCTTTAACTGCTAGTGAAATGATTTAATCTTAATTAAAACTGTATATGATCAGTGAGATGTTTTAAAATACAAGCAAACTTGCTTAGGAAAGATTTTGCTTTTGGTTTTTGTTCATAATTGTTCAGAATTGAACCCATTCTTGTGTAAGCACATGCAGAATGTTTTAAGAATGTTTATACTTTTGGGGTAAAATCTGATGTTAATGCATGTGTGCTATAGGTGCATGTTTCCTTTGGTAAGAAAGTACTGCAGTGTTTGCTTCATGAATTTGTAATCAAAGCATGTAGAAGAACAGAAGTAGATGCGGCAAACAGTAGTAGATAGGATCTTTATGATGACATTGCTGCCATCTGATTGAAAACTTTTGATTATGTTTTTGATAATATTGAAATTACTGTGTAGTTAAAAGCCCTAGTAAATACACCTTACATGATATGTCACTTTTAATTAACAGTTCTAATAGAGCCAATACTTGTCTTCCAGTTCTGGAAGCAGTAACGACGCATATACACCCCATCTCTTAATTGGTTTGTGATTCTTTAAAGTCAGCCTATGTCTTTTCACCTTCTTGTGTTATTGCCTTAGGATGAAGATTACATGCAATCATATAATGAGCAAGGAATGGAAGAGCAAGAAGAATACACAGCTGATGAGGAGCTGGAAGAATCCCAGACAATAACAAATGAATCAGAAGAGGTATGTTGTGAATTTAATGGAAATGTAAAATAACGAGTTGTTTCAGAATTTGAATTTGTAACATTGTCCATATTGCTCAGTATGAACTGATGCAACTTTTGCCAATGTTGAATTATTGGTGTTACTACTCTTTGTGTAAGATGAATTGTGATACCATCTATATCGTCAGATACTGCAGATCCTCTTTCCCCCTTGGGATGACAGTCATAAGGGAGAGCTCAAAATGTTGATAGGTAATCTTAACTTCAACATTAGAAACTGCAGGGGCCCTTTGGGGTGGAGAATGATAGTCGTACTGCATGCTGTCTGTTAAATCTCTCAATAACTATGGTGCCTCACTTTCCAGATAGATAATCTGCTGCAGTTGGGAGTGTAGATACAGTTCTTGGGTATCCTACTTTGAGGAGGAGCGTGAGCATGAAAGGTTCTGTATGTTAGAAAGGCAAAGGTCAGGTTGTTGTTTTGAAAGAAGTTGTTTTGGGACTGAAATTTCGGTGAAGTTTATCTTAGTTCTTCAGTTAGGAAAAAGGATGAGTTCCTTCATTTGTAAGACGGCGGCTTATGCCAAAAACTCTCAAGTATACGTTCACTAGTTATAGCCTGGAACAGTGGTATCATATCTGCTATTAATTTGCAGCAAGTTTTTGATGTGGTATTTTTTTCCTTTCCCCGTCAGGAATCTACTTTAATATTATTTTTGTTCCAGTTCTTAATTAAATAGGATTGAATGGATTACCTGCTGAGAAATGTAGTCAGAGTGTGTTTCCTCTTTGGAGCTTTAACTCATCAGGAAATTTATTCCTCAGAGACACAGCAGCGGTGTTCTATGAACTTCTAACAAATGGGTGTGCTGTGATACTCTAGTTGTATCAAACTTATGATAAAGTAACATTCGTTGGTAGGTGAAGAGAGAGACATTGAAAGGGGCCACCTGCATTATTCAGTCTTTGCTGTTGCAAGCGTGACATCTTACACAAAATACACCTTGACGTAGTTAATTTCTTCCTTTAATACTTCTTAAGTATTAAATCTACCCTTCCAAAGAACTGTGAAACACTTCCAAAACTTTGTTCATTCACTGGATTATATACACTTTCCTTCTGGTGTTTTAAAAGCAGACTGATGCATTTTTTCTTTCTGTAACCACAGGCTGTGGGAGATGAAGGCACTGTACATTGTGTAAAGTTAAATACATAGCTGGGATTCACTGTCAAACTTACTGCTTTTAAAAAAGCACAGCTTCATTTTTAGAGTATGAACTAGTGAGAATTCTCTAATAATCACGTTGTCTAATTTTGTCCAATTCAGAATTAAATTCCTTTCATTCAAAAGATAACATTAATGCAAGTTTTTAATTTATTTTGTTTATAGAGCTTTTAGAGACTTTGTTCGTCATGTAATGTGAACGTTTTGGCCACATCTTTATTCAGCTAATCTACATTCTGGCTTTATTCTGATGGCTTGCAGATTGCCACAGGTTTCTTGTTTCCAGAACAGTACCATCTTTTTATTCCTTTATTATTTCATATGTAGCTCATTTAAATTTGTTAGTGCGCTCACAACTGCACTCTCCAAATGAGAATGCCGCCAAGAGAGATAAGCTTCATAGACTATGTACTTCTGTTTGTTATGTGGTTAGATGCATGCCTCCAGCTCTGAAGAGTTTTGTTCTTTATTCCAGTGTTTTATAACAGCACTCCTCCTTAAATCTGATAGCACTCACTGCTTGTAAACAAGGGTTATTGTTGGCATTCTCCTGTAGAAAATGCAACGCAAGAATGGAGCTGTAATAGATATGGTACAAGTAAATAGCGGTATTATTTCTTGATTGAAATTTGGTATCTGAATAACTGAGAGTGAGCTGATAGAGAAAAGTGTTTGGTAGTGTTGTATTTGAAGCAGTTTCCATGTTAAAACCAAATAAATCCTTTTATATTGCATGAAGAAATTTTGTAAACCAAGAGAAGAGCTGACTGGCTGGGGCATTGAAACATGATGAGAGGAAACTGGTGAATAAGGGAAGTGAGAAACCTGTTAAGAGTGGCACTCAGGTGGGAGGTGTGAGGAAGAGGCAGGAAAAGTTTGTGTTCTTGGTCAAATCAGGTTCAAGGCATGCCTTTTCACTTGATACTTAATTTGAAACAGTCCTTAGAACTTGGATTTTGAATAAATAATACTCTTTGTAGAGCTTCCTTGAAAAATGTAGCAATGCTTCAGAAAATATTTTTGCCTTCCTAAGGTACAAAACAAAACCCAATACCCAGAAGTTTCAGCAGCAAATAAGTCTGGTAAATCTGTCAGTTACATGAGTTATCATGCCTTAAATATTTTAGAGGAATAGTATCACTCATTGTTTCTGTGAAATGTTCATGAAAATGTAACCTCCCAAAATTATAACTCATAATTTTTGTATTTTATATTGGAACTAATCTTCTCTGAAGTCTATGACAGGGAGTTTCCTCATTGCATAAATCTAAATCGTGTCTTGGGTTATGCTGATGAGAACTTTAATCAAGAATACATTTCATGAGGAAGTGCTGCATACCAGCTTTGTTTTGATAGAATACAACTTGGGGGGGAAAAAAAGACGTATCTGGGAGAGTGTTCCATCTGTGTTTAGCCAAAACTTACACATTTTAGTTCTTTTCTTCAAATTTGAAGATGCTACCTGTCAGCCTGGAGAAAAATGAAGAGAGTGCAAATCAAAGCAGCCAAGTTTTAAATCTATTTATAAGCTCTTAGGTTTGTTTTTATTCCCATTTTTCATCTGTGAAGTGGAGAATGCCCTTGGAATAGGTGTAACAGCCTCTTACCTGCTCTCTGTTATTTCTTGATCCCTTAGGATTGAGCAATTGCTGCTGTTTGCTGTTAGCCTCTGGTAGAAGCCTTAACTAGCTAGAAAAAAAGCAGTGAATAAAAGTTCTGTTTCATCTTCGTGATGTTTCCTGTGGAAGGGATATGATTTAGCCTTTGCAGCACTTACCTGTTTTGTAAATCTTAGCAATCTCTGGCACAAAGCTCTCCAGAACGCTTGACAGTCCCGTGTTTAGGAGGATCCTGTGCCAAGATCAGTGTTTATCATGCTGACTAGTGTTTTCTCCTGCTTTCCTTGGGCTATGTCTGTTATCAGTCCTGCAACTGCCTGGTGAGCCGTTTGGGGCAGGAGCGCTTGCTCTTGCTCCATAGGAGATCATAACTCAGCGTGGGGAGTTCTGGTCAGTGACTGGGATTTATGGCATAATCATTTAATGAGGATGGCAGAAAACTCTGACCTTGTGATAGAAGAAAGGTCATTTTTTTTCACAAGGAATAGTCGGCAAAGCTCTTTGGTAGCTTCGTGCAAGATGTCATCATGGGAAATGTTAAGCTTCCTTTGAGGAGAACTGCTAGGAAGCCTTGAGTGGCTAGTCTAGTCAAGTGACCTCAAGTGGCTGTTTAAGGACTGTTTATATGTTTATTCAGAGATATTCATGGTTAGCAAGTATAAAACAGAACCCTCTAAGTACTAGTATTTATTAATTCTATGTCTGCACTTGTGTCTTTCCTGTATAAATTTCTTTTGAAACAGAGAATCCATTCATATACTGTAATCTTGGCAAAACAACTCAACCTGTTGGGCTGGAAGTTGGAAAAGATGAACTAAAGAAGTCTTGTGTGCTACAACTATTGAACAAATTGAGGGGAAGGGTGTATACTTCTACACAGCTCAGATAACCTTTCCTGGAGCTATATGTAGAGAATATATGATTGGCTGTTAGACATGTTTGTGTCTGCATTGCAACTAATGTAAATCCCTCCATAATAGGTGTAATCAGACTTGGACATGGGTCAGCTAGCGTTGTCAAGCTCTGCCTTTCTTTGTTGCCTGCTTTTTCGTTAGTTCCTTTGATTTTTATTTTGTCTTTGATATTTAATGCTTGTACAGCTGTTGTATGTTAATAGGTGGCATGAGCATTATACTGATGAATAAAATGAGTTAGACCCAAAAAACTACAGAATTGGTCTAAGTGGCTAAGCATAGGATAGTGCTGGTCTAGAAAAGTTTGAGAAATGTTTTTTATCTTGTATAGGAAAGTAGTTGTCTTGTAGTCTGTTACAACATGCTTTTTTTTTTTTTTTTTTGGTGGGGTTGTTTTTTTTTTTTTTTAGTGTGGATGTATTTTTTTTTCCAGAATAAATGATTATCAAAAGGCAGCACAGTTTCCACATGTGTCTTCTGTAGCATTTAATTAAAGCATTACAAATTTTTTCAGGACGGTGCAGACTGCATTAACCATTCTAGTCCTGATTCTGCAGTCTAAGCCACATGTAGAGCCTTGCATGAGTAAGTTTTGCACTCAGATGAGGTTACGTGACTGATACCAGTCTTTGATGAATAAAAACTGGAATTCTACCATAGCTTTTAGGGGGCATAGACACAGAGAGTGGATGTGTCTGGGGTTTATGCTCTGAAGTAAAGCCAGAGGCTCAGTGCAGTGAGAGAGCACGTCTCGCAAAACAGCCACTCCACTTCTGACTTCCAAATCCTAATCCTGAAGGGAAAGCTTTTAAAGACAAGCATTGAGACAGTAAAATTATGGGGCTTATAATATTTAAAAACATAGATTAGACAGATTTCTACTCCTTTCTTTTTTGGGAGTCCCTCTTTTGAAAGTAAACTGCTAACCCTGTCTTTCTCCCTTCTTTTTGTTTGTTTTTATTAAACGATGTTATGTTCCGTGAGTCTCAACTGCCTTTCCTCAGAGATACTTTGATTATACATGGATATGTTAATCAGACCAGTTGTGCTCAATTTGAGGTTGAGTTGCTTTTGAGGTTTGGATTTCTTTCAGTTTTGAAGGATTTTTTTATTATTATTATTATTTTCCTTCTATCCTGTCTGTTATTGTTAGCTGCATTTTTTGGTATGGTAAAGTTGTTATATAAAAGTAAATATCTTTTTAAAAATATAAGCCTTAAAGCTTTTTGTAAAATTTGGCTGTTTTCATAGCTATATCTTAAAGCATTTTGGTGAGGTCAGGACATGTAGTGCTTGAATGTTTGCTGAAATGGATAAAACACAGTCTGAGATAAGGAGATGATAAAATAACTTGGGATCAGTAGCCATTAAGGCCTAGTAACTATGTATACAGATCATTTATTTATTCACCAGACCAAAGTTGAAGTAGCTTTGAGCTTGAGTTCATATAGTGCTGTCTTTTAAAGTAGAAACTGTCTTGCCAGCTCCTATCTCTGATCTTGATTCCCACATTTGGTTTTGGGTTTGGCTGAAATTGGGCTCCTGGGTAATGAAGTTTGCAATCTCTTGCACCATTTTGCCATTTATTCTTTTTCTTGATTTGTGACTTGTATCAGTCAGGTGGATAGATACTACTTGCTGTGGCTTTTACATATAAGTTACTGCACCAATCTGGTTAATTAGGAGATTAAACCATATTTGCATGTTATATTTCACTCAATTGTTAACTGTCCTTAAGCTACATAAAAGTTTTGATGTATTTAGTGACTACGCAAAAAAATTAAAATGCATGTGCAGGCTCTAAGAAATGAGCAAGTAGGCTTGTACAAGAAATAACCAAATACACAATAAGCAAATATTTTATGGAAAATTGTACTGTATTAGAACACTTCTAATTTTCAACTCTAGAAATCAAATATAACTTGTGTAATGTTCAGAACATTAATTTTATCATGCCAGCACAGGAAAATGAAATTGATTTTTTTGTTTGTTTGTTTGAAGGGGAGTGTGCCACTTTCATTTGGGACATTTTCATCTAAAGAAATGTTCTCTGTTATAGAGAGAACTGGAAAATAAATGATGACAAGGGAGTAGCATTCCAATATACAAATTTAGTATATTCAAATCTTTTTCCAATCCTGTTCTCCATTCTTTTCATCAATCGCTGAATTAAAGCTGGGAAGTATTCAAGGAGTAGAAAAAGTAAAGATAAGTACAGTTATACATATCTAGAGGAATTAAATTGACGTGAGGTTGTCTGGTTTTTGTTGTGTGTGGGGTTTTTTTGTTGTTGCTGTTTTAAAAAAACCAACATGCTACTGACAGTTGTTAACAAATGAGGAAAAAAAAAAAGATAATGTTTTTATTACTTGAATCTGGTAGTATCCCAGGTTTGCATCTCAGTCAGTTCAGTGATAAAATGTTGCTCTGTGTGCCAAAGTAGCTACTAATCAGATGGTGGTTCTAACTGGAGTTTCCATATTCCCTTAAATATTGCAGCAAAATGGGTTTTCTCAATAGGTTTTACTATAAACTTATTATATAATCAATATTTTTATATTCTAAAAAAAATCACCAAGATCTTAAATGTTCACCGAGTTATGTATGAGAATAATGTATAATGTCAGCAAAATTTCTACAAAGGGACCTTTAAAGAAAGCTTTGTCTTTTGACACTCACTGATCACAAGAAAGTAGATTTTTCAGTTTGCATGTCCTCTGTATTTTGTGATTCAGGCAGCTATTGAATCTCTGGAACTTCACGAAGAAACAAAGGAAGAATCTGATGAAGAGGAGGATGATGATGAAGAGTCTGGACGATTGCGTTTCAAAACTGAACGGAAAGAAGGAACGATAATTAGGCTCTCAGATGTGACAAGAGAAAGGAGAAACATTCCAGAAACTTTGGGTGAGGTTTTGTGGCAATAGACCATTTTGAAGAGCTGTAATAGAAGAAAGTGAAAGACAGTCTTGCCAAAACTTTCAGAAAATAGTTTAGTGGCAAAACATAGAACATTTGCCTTCCAACTTAGACCGGCCTACATCCAAGTTGTCCGAAGTCATATGTAGTCTGTGGTAGTCTGTGTAGTGAGAATAGTGTTTAAGCGTATCATGTTTTGAAAACCTGCACAATGTTTGTTCATTGAGACTTTTGTTGTGTCTTTAAAAGCTTTCCTGTTTGCAAGCAGCAGCTATCTGATCTGTGCTTCACTACCTATTGTGGTGGAATACATTTTAAGGAATTCCTTTGAACTTCCATCCTTGGAAGATGTTCAGTTGATAACACAAATCTTGTTAGTTGTGTTCTGCTGTGAAATACCTGCATGTTTGCTGTTTTCCCCCGGGAACATAAGTGTGCTATGAACCTGTTGTGTTCCTACTGTTGGATTGGCCTAGAGAAATTATAACTTGCTGGGGAGTGTGTTAGAAAAAGATGGAAACTCCTGTTTCCTGGGTTCAGCTTTTCTAACATGGAACAACCTGGATCTCTTATACCACCTTGATTCTTTAGGCAGTGTCTGAAAGGGTGTATTTTCTTCATATTTGAGTAGCATAACACAAGTGTACACTGCTCCATGTAGTTCATGAATTTGCCACTGCTAGTTCAGAAGAAACAGTTGATTTGCAACTTTCTTTCTTGCAGCTGCTCTATTTTAGTCTATAAATAAAATCACATTGGCTTGTGGTTTTGAGAGTTAACTTCAAGACACTTCACGTGCCCTGCGTACTCGAGTATCTGATACTGGTGTGTTGTACCTGCCCCACTGGGGATGACTGTATTGCCTCTTCATGTTGACCTTATGGTGGTAGTGATAATAAAAAGTCAAATTAAAAAGGTGGTATTAGGGAGATGGGCAGAATTTAAGCTTTGCCTTCAGAGAGGCATACCATTCTCATAGTTTTGCTACTGAATGGAAATATCAATTCAAACTATGCAGAAAAAGCCCTGATCTTTTGAGGAGAGTCAAGGTATGCGAGAGAGGTGAACTGATAATGAAGGCAAATTGTCAGATACTGTTGGCTAATTGTCAGGTACCGCTGGGAGATGATGTATGTTTTGATGATACTTCAAGTTTTGCCAGACTGTAGGAATGGATCCTTCACACAGGATTGCTTTAAGATGGGTGCTGTGCAGTCTGAGCTTGGAAACTGGGTGCTTCTCCTTGCTTTCCGGATGAGTCAGTGTCTTTGGGACAACAGGGCATTTTGGAATTACATTCCCAGAGCGTATACCTATTCCAGCGTAGCTGGAATTCGTCCTGATGAAATTTTCCTCTTACTGTAAAAGCCTTGCTTCGCAAAGGATGTCAGTTCTAAGGATTTTTCTTTTGAGTTGCATAGCCTACTAATTCTTTAATTCAGTTGCAAGGAATTTGGGCTTTTGCTATGCCTGCAGAAATTGAGAAGCCTTAATTCTAAAACAAAGGTGTTGTGGCTAGGAGGACTTGTTTGTGAGCAGCAAGGAGTCAGCTGCAGAGGCTGAACCAGACTTTCACAGTGGTATTCACGTAGGCCATGTTGTGCTGCAAGTGAGATGTCAGTGCATGATTTTGAATCAAGGTCTTTCTCATCTGTTGGTCGTATTTAGCAAATCACTCTTCTTACTTGCAACTTCAGGCAAAGAGTGTATTAAGGGCCTTTATTCAGCATTGGTTTAATGATCAGGGATTGATTCTGATTAGAATACCACTGAAGGGAACCCTCTAGAGGCACAGAGTGTCTATATGGGCAAGGTATATTTTAGCTGAGGTACATTCCAAATGTGTTTTCAACCATAAGACCGTATTTCTACATACCGTGTACAGACCACATCTCGGTCATACAAAAGGTGCTGGTGGTTATACAAAACAGAGTATTTTAAAAACAAGAGTGCCTGGGAATAGCTACATCTCTGCATATAATTGCACATAATTGCAAGGTAAATAACAATTGCATGCATTTTCATGTATCTGTGGATTTACTCTATAGCTTAATGTAAAAAGACCAGCCAGCAAGGAGAAAACCTGCAGGGGAGCTTGACTGTTAAAGGAACAGTGATTTGAATTGACTTATATAAGTGGAGTTTTAAGTAGCTATGAGATAGAAGGAAAAGGTGATACAAATGTGGATGAATCTATAAACTAAACAGCTTGTTTTGAAAGTAATCATTGGCAAAAATACAATCTTGATGTGAAATGGTTTCTATTCATACTAATTGTTCATGTTAATTTTTTGATAAAGACCAAATGATTGACCATGTGGAAAGATAAACAGCAAAAAATACTTGTTTGCATATAAATACCTGTTTGCTTTGGAGATTATAGAGCAAATTTTTACAGATGCTACTGGTTTAAAAATGAAATTTTATTGCAGATCTACATCTCCTTACTTCAAAATTTGAACATAGTTGAGAAAACACTTAAAGAGGAATTAACATTTCAGTTGAAGTTACAAACGTAATTTCCATCCTGTCACATTTTGGTGACCTTTTGTGACAGCTTGTCTCTATTGGATGAGTGCATTCTTACTTGCTGATTAACGATGTCATTTGAAACCATTTTATTACCAGCGATAGTGAAATTAATCTTGACACTTAGAGACACTAGAAAAATAATTGCTGATTCACTGCATTAACTGTGTGTGTGAGAACTGTACAGTCAAGATGAGAATAAGTGTGTGCTGGTTAAAAAAAAAAAAAAAAAAGGTGAAAATACAGCGCATTGCCATGAATGTAGCTGAGATCTTTCCTAAACATTTCTGTATCCAAGATAATCTAAGTAGCGGGTTTGAAAAGTTTAAAGGAGATGTATTGTAGGACAACTGTGCAGTTGATTCCTGGAGATACAGAGTTTGTTACCTCTGAGAAATATATAACTTCTTTCAGAACATGTGGTTGAAGTCTTCCCAGAGTTGGAGTTGTTGTTATGCTCTGGATTTAGTTACCTGTTAAGGAATGTGAAGAAGAAAAATGGCTTTGGCATCACAAAAGTAACGTATTCCCTCCGTACCTAATTTAAAAAACAAACCAAACCCCTACACTTATGCAGAGCCAAAAAGTGGTAACAAAGGTTATTGGATGTGGTAGTACTTTTTGCTATGTCCTGCTTAGCTGGTTCATGTTCGCTCTGATAACTAGTAGCTGATATTTCAGGCAAGAGTTAAAAAACAAAGGAGAACATTTGCTACCTCTCTCAATTTAGATTGCGTATATATGTAAATGCATTTTTTTTTTATAGCTGTTCTGGAATGTGATTTATGTTGTAAGTCTCTGCATTATCCAGGATAATAGGGATTCTGGGATTCTCAAACTCGGGGATTTGAAATACTGTTGCTCTTGGGGAGCAGCCCAAGGCAGGTGGAGCTGCAGAGACCTGTGCTCAGGGCTGGTGTAGGCAGGAGCTGGTGGCCGTGTGTGGCAGCAGCCCACACACACTGTCCAGGGGGCACAGCGGCATCCAGCCTGGCTCTGGTCACAACACTCACAAGTTCTTAGCTAGGGAGAAGCAGTGGGCCTTTTCATGTGAGTACCTGGCTGTGCTT